GTAAGAACTTGGTAGCATAATGCCTGCTGTGACGTTGCTGAGGGGTGGGGGGGACAACACACAGCACAGGATCAGCAGAGATGCGGGAGGAAGAGTGCGTTTGAGGGAGACAGAGAAGCAGCACCAAGAGAGAGCAAGCAAAGCAGCTGGCCCAGAAGCCATCTCAGCAGGCACCGAGCTACAGCAAGCCAGCTACTCCTCATAGAACGTTCTGCCCCAGAACAGTTCACGTGCAGACAAAGACAAAAGCATAGGTTGGAGCAGCCACACTATCTAAAAGCAGCTGCTGAATGACTGTAGTTTTTTTCAGGTTTGACATCAAGCTTTTTATTCAGTGCTAACACCAGAGGAAGTCAAACTTTAGAGGGAAAGGAGGCAGTCACTGAGTCCATAGAACAGAGAGGTTTGATTGTCATTTTTGCTAGCATAATCATTGGTGTGCAGTTCAGGGTCTGTCTAGTACGAATGAATAAATCAATACCACTTTCCTTTGGTGTTTTGTGAATAAATCTCTCTAGAAAATAGCCTGACTTTGCATCATCAATTTCTGTTTTATGGGAAGTAAGCTGCTGTCATTAGGCAATTGCAAAGTATGTGAGGTTGTAGAACATCTCAAGAGAAAAAGGAAGAGCCTGAAAAACAATGGACAAAATATTAATCTGTCCTGACTTGATTAACTTGAAATAAGATAGCCCCAACCCATAAAGAGTGGGCTTTTTTAGGATTTTGAGACATTGAGTGTTGTTTCTTCACTTTAGATTCAGAATGTAAAATTTCTCAAGGGAATTAGAAAACTATTTCTTCCCATAATAAAAGACTTCGGCATATGAACCACGCAATGGGTAGCCCTTAGCACCTTGCTGTGTCAGGAAATGACACATACACAAGAAGCCCACAGCATAGACAGATGTGTCAAACCACACTCCACTGGTTCTAGTCAAACTATGGAGAATTTACTGTAGCAAAATGTAGGTGCAACACATTACCTATAATTAAGTGCCAATCTCAGCAATATGTCTAACTAAGAGATAGTTCCACAAAAGTGTCACCATGGTGCTCCATAGCTGTCACAGACCCAAGTGAGAGGGGACAGGAGTTACTAGGAAAATAAATCTGTGGTTCCCACACCTCATCTAAGAAGGATGTTGAAATGCAGAAGACCCAGAGAACCACCACAAGGTCCATCTATAGGCATCAATCAATGTTAGTACAAACAACATGTAAAAAGATGAGCATTCTTTAGACTGCATATCACAACTGAAGGGGCACTATAGGACCTGTACTATAGTGAAAATTGCCTATGATGCTCACCATCTGTTCTAACACAAGAACTAGAAGGCATCAACTACTGCTAGTAAGAAGTTCAAGTCAAACAAAAGCAGGTGCTTCTTCACACAGGCAAGGCTGGGCTGTGAATCTCCCAAGTACAGGGTGCTATAGATGCTAGCAGCTTACTAGAATATAGAAAACGTCTGCCAGTTCATGGAAGAGAAGTCCATCTACAAAACCAACCAACCAACAAAAAAAAGCCACCACCCCACACTAAACCACTACTCTGACTTAGAACCTTCAAGTCATAAAACTGATTAGGAAAATATTCTGGGAGAACACCACTGCTTGTTTAAGAACTCTTAAATTCTTCAGACTTTTCACCAACTAAAGGCCAAGATCAATGCAAGATAGCAACCTAGAAAACCTTGAACTGTACAACATCTGTTCTTGTGTAGTCATCTTTCTTTTGATCTGTTAAAACCCTTCAACACATTAGCATAATATTCAATGCAATTGCCCATACATAAATTTAATTATGCTTCACTCACTCACCCTCTCCCTTGCCTTCCCTCTCTCTCTTTTCAGATTAAAGAAAGTCCAGATGGGGTGCAGGTGCTGCAAAATGATACAAAGGTACAACAAACTGAGAGTTGCTTAGACTGAATAAAAGAAGTGCATTAAAACGTGTGTCTGTCCTCCCCTACACCTGTTGCTTAAATTAAGCTTTCTTACAATGTTGGAGTTTTCCTGAAATTTACAGCATCTTTAAAGTGATGCCAGAGCACAGGCATACTGATTTCCTGTGAAAGTCCTGGATTTATTGTAATTAAGCTCCAGTTCTGTAATTCCTATCTAACAGGAAGAAAAAAAAAAAAAAAAAAAAAAAGGTGTGGCATTGAAAACTCATCTTTCTCATTTAGGTAGCACAAGCTTCCCTCAACTCAAAAACAAGGAGCACAGACTTGGCAGCTCCACCCTCTCTCCTAAACAATGAAAATTAACCACAGATCCTCACTTCCATCATAACTTTTAAACTGTAGTTAGTTGTGGAAACAATTCCCCCAGCAATAGTCTGCCTGGAGAGTAAGACTGGCTAGTTTTAGAAAGATAAGTGGACAGTTACTCCTTCCCTTGACCACATCTCTAGAATAGTTTAAAAAGTGTGAAAAAAACCTCAGTGCTATGACACAAAGGTGGGAGATAAAGAGAAACGCTCTGGAAGAAGTAAGTCAATGAACACATGGATTGAGAGGAAATATTAAGAAAGAAAAAAGGAGGAAACAAAGTTAAAAAGAACAAAAAGGTAAGACTTTAAAGGAAGAACACCAGGGGAAAACAAGCGAGACATTTTAGCAGCTACATGAGGACATACTAATTAACAACCTATGTGATGACTACTCATTGGCTAATCAACCCCCACAAATAAATAAAAAAATAAAGCTGGAAACAGCCACCACAAGGTTCTCTGACATCCTCCTTATGTTCCTGGTGGTCTCACTAGAGTGGTTAGTAAAAAATGAAGCTTAATCTTTTTTCTGATTATATTCATTAACAACATAATTAACATTTCCTTTACAAATTTTCCTTATTCTAGCTATATTTTTGATTCAGAGGAAGTACAATCACCTGGATGCATTCATGAAGTAAACAGCTATAAATACAATGAGCAAGGCAGCAATACATCCAAATTCAAAGAGAACAATGAAACTCAACAACATAGAAACAAACTCCAAAAGGATGAACTAAACAGAGCAGAAAATACAAATCGGGTAAATAACACAAAAGAAACTCTCTGGAACCAAGAGGGCAACGATTTTCAAGAGGATGGCCTTGTAAAGTGTGCTGCAAAGCCTGATGTTGCAGTCAATGGCGGCAACTCCTGCGCTGGAGCGCACCCCGTGCTCAGTCCCAACGCAAACGCGGTGCCAGACGCCAGCGAACAGGGAACCTCCAGCCAGCCAGAGGCTTCTTCAGCCAGCAACAGAGACCTTTACACCAAACCAAACAGGCCTGGCCCAGAGCTTGACCTAGCGGCAGGCAGGCAGAGGAAAGAAGCCAGCAATGAGCCAAACAGTATTCAAGATAAGAACTCTGGGTCTGCAGAAGGCAGCACTTTTTTCAACGGAAGTATCACACTGGAGACACAAAATAATGCCATACAACTGCCAGATACTGATTATCCACAAAATGGGAATCAAACCAGGAACTATGTTAAAAAGGAAAGCTCTTCAGTCAGCTGTGCACATTCAGGACAAAACCATGGCCTTTCAGCAATACCAGGGCAGGACCTTCGTGTAACGCTCCCGTCGCCTGTGGAGGAGAACAGTATTCAGTCTTTTAAAACTGCCTCCACAAGTCCCAGTGAGGGCATGACTGGTGGTGACACTGCCGTGGCTGTTACCAAAGTAGCACAGGCACCCCCACACCCTAACCATCGAGACACCAATGGAGAAACCGAGGAGGAAGATGCAGAAGTTGCAGCGGCTCTGGCTGCACTAGAAGCTGCAACTGCAGGGGAAGATGTGGAAGATGATGATGAGTACTAGATGAGGGTTTCTTTCTAATACACTGTGTAAGATCCAGATTTTATTTCTGGACCTATATGAATACACGTACAGCACATGTGGACAGCTGTTGCAAACAGCACGTATTAAAGGAGTTGGGACTATACCACTGTCCCTTCAGCTGTTTTATACAGCCTTTTAACTTCTACTGCCTGAGGTACAGAAGTGCTCCCTTGGCTAGTGGTGATACTAACACTCTTCTCCATGGGACCAGCCGGGAGGGCAAAGCAGCATTTCTTCCACACAGGATATTCTGCTGTGTACCCACCTCACCTGGACTCATGCAGACACTTCCCTTGGTTTTGACCCTCAAGAGGGTCTGCGCACACTCCATGTTCCAGGTTCAGAAAACTTCTATTATTTAAAACAGAACTATAGAAGCCACAGAGTTAGAAACCACAGATTTTCATCATGTTAGCACAAAGGAGTAAAACTGACCCAAAGTTCTATGATTTAATGAGGTATAAAATAGAGAAGGCAGCTTGGCTTGCACTTCACTGCAGTTACAGTTCCATTCCAGATCAAACCTAAACCCGTGCACGTGCGGCCGCTGTTAGGATGATAACCTCACCTCTTCCCCTCACCTTCCCCAAACATTGTTTGATAACCCAAGGGACCTGCTTCAGTTCATTAAGCCAACAGAAGCCTAGCCAAATCCCAGAGAGTAAATTCCTGCTTTTTTTTAATGAGCTGAAGTAGCTCACAGAAGAATTGCACACACACTATCAGAGGTGCTGGAGAAGGATCAAAACTAAGTCCTACCAGTTTGGGTAGATTAAAATGACAACCTGAGACCTCTCAACTCTGCTAAATTTTCCAGCCACACACCACTTGCCTTAGCAATACAGTCTGCAAACAGGTTTTTCCCAAACACCCCCAGTAAGATGTGTTTTGTTTATACATAAAAAGCAAGAGCCAGTGTGGACCTGACTGTGCTGCAGTCAGACTCACAGCAGGAAAGGGATTGAGCTCCCAAGTTGAATTAAGACCTCAAAATATCAGCTGCAGTCCTGGAATGTTTACCCTTTCTCTGATTCTCAGAGTAGTATATTATGAGGTATACTTATGTATTCTCATAAGTATGTTACCTTACTTATGAGAAAAAAAAAAAAAAGGAGTTAGAGACCAACTTGGTGCTACCAAGTCATCAGAACATAATCTTAATGATTGAACTAGAATGTGCTTGACATTTTATACTGAAATTTTGTGGTTTCTGAGTTTGTCAAACTCAATAAATTTTTTTAAGCCTATAAAAAAAAAATCACCTGGTGGCTTTTGTGCTTTATGCATTTTCTGATTATATAAAAGTTACATAAAAGAAGTACTGTAAGGCAAATCCCCCACTTCGATACATGAAAAGCACCAACTATGTTTGTATATGCAACTATACAAACAGCAGTATATGCTAAAACCTAGTTTAACCATTAACATAGGTAAAGATCAGAATATAAGGAGGTGAGTTTTAAGTAATATGTAGATATTTAAATTATTTCTGTTTAAATACAGATTCCTTCTTTTCCTCCAAATACTGCAAGGTTTGTTTCTCAAGATATTAATGATACCTTTAGGAGCAATTAAAAAAAAAACTACACACACTAAAAGCTTCAAAAGAATTATTTTCAGCTACTGATGAAAGTCACCACGTTGTATCTGTAAAATAAAAAAAAAAGCTTTATATGTTTTTCAAGTATTGCAGTACTTGATTTCTCTGCCAATATCCTAATTTAATAGGCCCTTCCAAGCATTTTCCTAAGTGCAGACAGGTTTTCCATGCACATTTGTGGATGGAAGATGACGATACCACTGAAAGCCATTGCACATTGCTGGTTATGGTCACCACAGGACATAGCACATGTATGCTTTCATATAGGGTGGGCCCTGAGAGCATCACCAGGCCTGACAGACGCTGGCACCCCCCAGAACTCCCCCTGCCCCTCCCAGGGCCCCATGCCATCAGACCCTGTGCCAGCTCCCCAGAGCCCTGCTCAGCCCGGCCAAGCCCCACCGCCGGTGCCCGATGCCCGGGGCTGAGGCTGCCCCCGTGCCCCCCAGCGCTCGCTGGCTGGGGCATGGGACAGGCCCTGGCTGTGAGGTCCAGCCCTGCTGTCCCCAGGGGAGCCTCCACGGCTCCTCACATCCAGCCCCAGGGAGCCACCAGCCCCTGCTGCACCATGACATGAACCATGAAAAAAAAAAAAAAAAAAAGAGAATTAAGTAAAAAAAAAGCTAAAAAAAGAAATGGGACAAACGTGAGGAAACTTAACTGATTTTTCAATATCCACTCAATTACATTTTTCTAACCTGAACTTCAACTGCAAATCACAGCTAGTCTTCATCTTGCTCGCCAAGAATTAAAATACTCTAGAAAGCACCTGCTCAAACCTAACCAATGTCCTGGGCACTCCAAACAGGCACCTCTCCTTTCAGCAGCTGCTTCCAGTCTTGAACCACTAGATTTAAATATTCTGCAGAGAGATAGCTGGGCCACAAACAATGTATTTCTCGTGGCCCAAGTCTTCATTGGTTTAAATATAAGAAAGGCAAAAAACAGTGCAAAGCAACTGTATTCACTGCATGGGGATTAACTCTCAATGCTTCTCTTAACAAGAGTCAGGCATATGCATATCTCAAATCTGCAGGATATGGAAAGCTTCCATAAAATTAAATCTGTGAGGGAGTGCCAACCTTCAGAGTTCTCTTACCTGTTATCTAGAACCGCCCTGTGCAGTTTGGTTTTTTTTGTTTTGTTTTGGTTTTGTAGGGTTTTTTTGTAGTTTTGGGGGGTTTTTTTTGTTGGTTGGTTTTATATAGCAATGTATTTATATATATATAAAATTTTTTGTATTTATATGTTTGTTTCTCTTCAGCTCTAACATGTCACAGCTGAGTGTCAGGAATTCTTAGCCATTTCTCAGACTGTTATGCACTTTTCAGGATAAATTACTTCAGAAATAATTTTTAAATATCACAATTTCCCCCAGAAAAATCAGCTTTTAAATAATTATGCGAGAACTGAATCTTATTCACTTCCTTCAGATGCTGATGCAAAGAAACACAAACACTGTCAGCTTGAACAACCCATTTCGCTCCGACATTTGAGAAAGTAAAATTTACTACCTTGAAAAAACAGAGAGAGTTTGAGGAAAAAGAGTTATTGAAATCAAGAGTAAACCATGTATTTTAAGAGACTTCTCTCAGAAACTACACAGCTTTTAAGCCACTTCTTCCTCTCTGCCCCAAACACTGCAACTCAGATGCCAAGTATAATTCCTGTATACAGAGGGCTCACTTTTGAAGTACAGCTTAAATGTTTCCATTTTCCTTTGATACAAAAGGAATTAATGAGGGAGCTGGTTGACCAATATCTATTATTAATGTTTCTATATTTGACACAATGGTATACAGGTAAGCGTGAATACAGATGTAGCAAAAAAAGACCAGGCAACGGGCTGAGAAACTATTATAAAGGCTGGTATTTCTAGGAAAGATTTTGGATCTTAGAAGCTCATGCTTTATTCGCTGCTCTCCAAAGCTCGCAACACAGCTCAAAGGGAAATTATAACCTTTCTGTAGATAAACACTGAGCTTCACACCTCCTCATTGAGCAGTGGGTTACTCCTGGGTTAGGAAAAAAGAAAAATTCAGATCACTGTAGAGATTCCAGATATGACAACAGGAGTGTAAGGTAGCCCAATCCATTCAATTTAAGGAAGTTAATTATTTCCCAGAGAAAACATGACAGGGGAAGTTTGTTCACAGAGCAACAGAAGAACCTGAAATTTGATACTGCAGAATTCCTCAGATGAAGAAACAAAACTCTAACAAGAAATCAGGAACCTGGAAATAGATGAATTCCACACTTTTTTTTCCTTTTAAAGAACAAAGGCAATTGGCTGGGCAAGTGTTGCTATAACAAGTTCCTATTAAAAATTAAGATCCAGAAAGCCTATTTTTTAAAAGACAATTAAGATTTGATGGCTTTAAAGTACTGTGAAAATCCCATTTATTACCATTTAAAGCATGAAACAAGAATCAGTGACTCAAAAATTTAAAAAATTAATCTTGACCTTATGATGTATTTGTAGTTTCAATTTCCTATATGTGGTCTCATTTTCCAAAAGGTTAATTGTTGCTGATATATCACATTTTGCTACATAAGAACAGAGTATCTCAACATTTATTAAGACTTGTGTATATGGTATTTCATACATTTATTCAAATGCATATAATGTATGTTTTACTTATAATGAAATAATGAATCTTAACAGATTATTCATCTTGAACTGTGATACTTCTCCTTGCATATATATGGAAATTGGAATCATCTAAATAGTGCAAAAGCATCACTTCAAAATATATAGAATATTAGTATTAGAATTTCTTTAGCATGCTGAATACACAAGAAAGTAAATTTAAATCATTGTACATTAAAAAACTATTTTTAAAGGAAGTTTTATCAACAGAATTGTTTCAAACATTATGTCCTTTTAGGTTTTAGTCCATCTATGTCATACAGTGTTTAAGAGTAATCACTAAAAACAGATTAAGACTTTTTCACTGTCTTTGTCAAGCACAGTTGATGTTGGAAAGACTAATTTTTTTTCTTTTTCTTACCAGCATGAGATCACAACAGAAAGTCCTCATCTCTTTCCACAGCCAGGCTTTCCAAATTTTGGACCTTCACATAGACAACTAGAGACTTTGGCCTTGACCCGCTTCTCTATTAACAATTTCATTTTGCATCTCAGGGAAGTTTAAACTTTCCCTCATTTTGAACCTTCACTATAATTTTCTAAACTTCAGATCAGGCAATTTGTGGATTGAACTAGTTGGACAAACAGAAAACAGTAAAAACTGCCTGCACCTAAAAATAATACTACTACTACTCCAACTACTACTAACTTCTGCAAATGCTGTCCCACCTGCTTTTGGACTTTTTCCATTTCAAACAATGACCTGTTGAAATTCTGGAAGAAGCTAAA